CATATTTCATCCTCCATGGGTGTCATCTCTGCAACTTCTTTAGACGCAGCTGGCAGATGAAGTGCCATCAAATGATCATCATACTGTTTTTTCTTTTTTCTTTGTGAATTGAATTCATAGTTACACTTTTGCGTACATATAATTGACTCTAATCTAGTTCATAATTGCATTCGTTTAGTGGGTTAAATCTTGTTTAATTAATTAGATAAATGTGATGCAGTGCTTACTATATCCGGCAATTATTGAACTTAATTATTTCAACTTGTTGATGTATGTCGGATCCGCACGGTTTTATCCTAAAAAAATGCTTCTAAGTCAGACACATAGTAGGTGGGTTCCCAAAGGTATTGTTTGCTTTGGACTCTAGGTACCTCTAGATCTTAGAACCTGCACCTGTAAAATTTTGTCTCGAAAAAGTATCAAGTGTCGGTGTACTATATAAATGACGAAGGTCATTGTCTCTTAACCAATATAAGACTTTAGCATTAACACAACTAATTATAATTTATAGATAATGATCTAGATGCATTCTAGAATTTTTCAAAGTCTTCTCTATTAATGAAAAATTTATTAACCAAATTGGAATATGATCTTAATATGCATATATTAACTATTTATTTATTCGAATTTATGAGACTGAAATTGCAGCATTGACTTTGAGAGATAAATAACTCACAAATATTTAATTGTATGATTAGGCTTTATTTAATTGAATTAATTGGTAATTAAATTCAAACTTGAATGAACGTGGTTAATTATTAATCTAATTATAATTATTAATTAAACAATTTTAATGGATTATAATCTTGCTAAGCAATAGATAATTTCAGTTATTTAACGACCAAAGCCTAGATGATGGGTTATTAACGTGTACACTGGAGTCGCTATCCTGTGCCGCGTTTACCGCAAGGTTATAAACTTAGGACAGTTGACTTGTAAAAGTCAACTCATGACTGAAGTGCCATCCAATTGAAGCCGTCACATTGAGACTTTAATATTTTTCAATGTTTTTAGCTTCCTTTTATTCACAAAATAACAAATAATTATAATTAAGACGACAGATATCAATCAAACATAATTATAATATAACTGTTTGATTTTGAACAACGAAGATAGGAGGAAGTTGCATAATAGGGGCTCTTTCTTAGCTTTGGCTCTTTAAGCAGTAAATAAATAACATAAATAATCCCAATAATATTATCAAAAAAGGAAATGTTACATCCACGATCTTTTCTCATAATCTCGACATAATTATTTATAATTAATCAGTTTATAATGAGTTTTCCTTAAGTCTCATATGATAAATTACGACTAATCAATTGTAAAATATCATATCAGAATTGTGAGAAGAGATTGTGGTTGTTGTATTACTCTATCAAAAAATACTATATTCTCTTCTTCTCCTATATATACTTAAAATTTTATTTTGTTTATATAAAAACTTTAGATGAACGTGTATATATCTATTCAATCATGATATATGTGTATATATAGCCTAAGTTTGAGTCCGTACAAGCTCAACCAGATTTAACCTAGAAGCATCAAGCATATGCAAAAAAATCATTCTAGAAGCGTCCAGAATAATCCTCATGAAAAAGGCAACTGAGAGTATAATATTCTAAAGTATAATATTCAACTGAGAGTAAAAAAATATATTTTTTTTCAATCCATCTGTACAAGACAAATCATAAATCATCTTTAAATTTAAATTATGAATGACTTTTTAACTTCCAATTATATTGGAAGATTTCATGTTTGATTGGTTTGGATGTGAGTTTGTTTCTTGTTTACTTGATCATCGTACTTGGTTTCTTCACTGTTAATAAATTAAAACCTCAATCCTCTTGGAAGATTGTATTTCTTTCACTGTTATTTTTCTGAAACTTGAAAGCTCTGCAAAAGTGGTCCTTAAGTAATGAAGTTACAGTCCTCCTTCATGGACTTTAAACGAAGTCAATTGTGCGTTATTTATGCGATAAAACTATTGGAGTTCTATGCCGATTAAACACGTTCAAGCTTACTAGTTTATAAAAAAAAGATAATTCTCTCACTCAACAAAGCTTTATTAGGTGAGGAGTCAGATCTACCTCAAATTCTATCATAGTATCAAAGTCAGGTTCAATTGATCTGAGTATTTGACCAGTAGATAAAGAGTTAAAGCTAACAACTATCTTCGTTAACAAGCTTCATGCTTCTTTAACAGGTTTACTTGATCGTGAATGTTGGAGTTCCATATCGATTAAACATGCTCTAGTTTTTAAGAAAAAATAATTTTTCTATTCAATAAGACCTTATTTGATGAGTACCAGTCCACTTCGAATTCTATCAATTTGTTCAACCTCTATGATAAATATGAGATCCTTATTCTTTACACGGCAACTCGAAGAACACTCTCCACCACATGTTCACAAGACTTGGACACTAGAAAGGATCAAATATTTCCTCCCTTCTTGACTTTGACTTCTTCAAGTGTTTTCATCTTCTTTCTCATGAATCAACTGCTTATATAATCATCCTTCTTTGTTTATACTTTATACCCTTTTCCTCTTTTTATTCTTTAATTCGTTTTGTCTACTTGGCTGTTCCAAGTTAAATCAATTTTTTTTTTTCACTCAACTCTCTGAATTCCATGGCGATGGGAGTTGCGGGATTTTTTTGTTTCTTCTTTTTCTTACTCTTCCCGATCCTTGCTCAACCTCAAACTCAACCTACCAGTTTCATTTTCCAAGATTTTAGACAAGGTGAAACTAATCTTAGCCTTGACAGAGATGCAAGTATTATCAGGCCTTCTGGTTTACTCAGACTCACTAAGAGATCAAATAATGTTATAGGCCACGCATTCTATGTCAACCCAATACAAATGTTTGAGAAAAATTCTTCTTCTTCAGCTCAAAATGCTTATTCTTTCAACACAACTTTTGTGTTTGAAATAGTTTCCCCAAGTTCAGGCCACGGCGGCTACGGACTTGCCTTCTTGTTGGCTCCCTCTAAGCAACTTCCGGGGGCAGAATCCGGACATTACCTAGGAATTTTGAACTCAAAGCATGATGGTAATGCGTCGAACCATGTTATTTTTGTTGAGTTTGACACGGTTAATGGGTTTAACGGTGAGTCGGACGACGATGGAAACCATGTTGGAGTCGGCATCAATAGCATGAATACAAGCAGGTCAAAACCAGCTGCCTATTATCAAGGTGACACGGATGATCAAGAAGAAGTGAACTTGGGCAATGGGCCTATCCAAGCTTGGATAGAATATGATGGGGAAGAAAAGGTTTTGAATGTAACTATATGTTATGCAGGGAATCCAAAACCTGTGAAGCCTCTCATAAATTACCGGAGTATTAACCTGACAGACCATATCAAAGAAACTATGCATGTGGGATTCTCTGCGTCTACAGGAGATAGATCAAGCTCTCATTACATCTCAGGATGGAGTTTTTCATTAAACGGAGAGCCAGAAGCCCTTAATGTTTCAGCACTTCCAAGGGCACCAAAGGAGAAAGAATCAACCCCGTATAACCCAAAAATTATTGCTCTTATTTCTTCTTTATGCGTTGTGACTGTTTTGTTGTTGGGGATATTGGTTTTCTTTTTGTTCTATAGAAGGTCTTCATCGTCTGAGATTCTTGAAGATTGGGAAATAGATTGTCCTCACAGGTTCAGATACAAGGATCTTTATGAAGCAACGAAGGGTTTTAGAGAGAGTGAAGTGATTGGAGTTGGCGGATTTGGTGCAGTTTACAGAGGTGTGTTACCAACTAATGGAAGTGAAGTGGCTGTTAAGAAGATTACTCGTAATTCACTTCAAGGAATGAGGGAATTTGCAGCTGAAATCGAAAGCTTGGGACGTTTAAGGCACAAGAATTTGGTTAATCTCCACGGTTGGTGCAAGCAAAAGAATGATCTCCTTCTAGTTTACGAGTACATTCCAAACGGAAGCCTTGATACACTTCTCTTTAAACCCAAGAACGGCTTTGTGTTGAAATGGGAACAAAGATTCAACATAGTTAAAGGCGTTGCAGAAGGGCTGTTATATCTACACGAAGAATGGGAACAAGTGGTGATTCATCGCGATGTGAAGGCTAGCAATGTGCTAATTGATGCCGAAATGAATGCTCGGTTAGGGGACTTCGGTCTTGCCAGGCTATATGATCATGGAGGAATGTCGCACACCACAAATGTTGTGGGCACAATTGGGTACATTGCGCCTGAATTGACTCGCACAGGTAAGGCCTCAGCGAGTTCTGATGTGTATGCATATGGGATTTTACTTCTTGAAGTAGCTACTGGACAGAGGCCTATTGGTTCAGGCACGTTCCTCTTGATGGAATGGGTGAACGAATGCCAACAGCTTGGTAGAATTCTTGATGCTGTGGATCCGTTGTTGAAATCAGATTACGCTGTTGAAGAGATGGAACTTGTTCTGAAATTGGGGCTCATTTACTCTCATCAGAAACAAGAATTGAGGCCTACCATGAGACAAGTTATGCGGTATCTATGCGGGGATGAGCTACTTCCTTCTGACTATGATTGGAGCTCCATTTATTCTCAACAAGGATATGAATTAAGCTCCAGATTTTTGGAAGTGCTTTCTTCTGATACGTTCAAAGCGTCGCATGGTTCATATTCCAAATCCAATGTCACCTTCTCTTCCAGTTCAATGGAAAATGGTAGATAGTAGTCGGTCCGTCTCAAAACTTTTTTCCTTTTTCCACTTTGTTGTTAGGACTTAGGAAGTCGATGAATACTTTTCCAAGTAGAATCTGTATACTGATAGACACTGGATATTAACATTGTTTTAAGAGATAATTGCAGTTTATAACTATTTGTTCATTAAGAAATTTACATTCAACATCAACTATTTGTTCACAGAAAACTGATAATTCACTTTCTCTAGAGAAAAAGAGTAAATTGAAAGTGCTGAAACAATCCTATATCAAACAATATTCTCCAGAAAACAGGAACATGAAATACACCATGATTTTCTAGGACCAAAATTCAAGCAGTAAAGCTAATATAAGTGAATAAGAGCATTAAAGTTTGAAAATAACATAAAAGCTGACTCAATAAACCACCGATTAGTGGATGCATTCAACTTAAAGAAGAGTTCAGCAAGTAGACCAACTGCAGTAGAAAAGAAAGGTTGATACATGACCTGATGAATTTACCAATTTTTGAGTTTGCTAAACTCCTTAAGAATCTTAACCTTGGACCGGAAATCTTTGAAAAGAGAACAGCATTAACAAGAAGGAAAAGAAGAGATAATTATTTCCATAGACAGGTTTCATGAGATCATGAAACCATAACACGTCCAATCATCCCCTGGGTCCAACCAGCAGTTTCCTTGATCTGTTCATCCTCGGATTGAAGGCACTCACCCAGAAATTCAGGAAAGAATGCAGAGTCTTTAAATAGTATCTTTGTGTTTGGACCAAGTGCATCTGCAAGATCACCCATCACTGCGACTGCAGCTTTAGTAACACTCTCATCCCTGCAAAACATAAAAAAAGCAGCAGACATGAAGACCATAAGACAGGAAAGAAATCAAACAAATAACCAGCGTACGTCAGTAGAAACAGATAAGGAAGCATGACTGTAAAAGGGATGATACCTCTGTCTGTCTCTGAATACTACTTCTATAAACTGCAAGAGATGTTGAGCATATGGCAGCATCACCTCAGGCTTTGCATTCTTGAATCCTTGCAAAATACCAGAATACGCTTCAAATATACTACGCCTGAGCTGGTTCCCATAATCCACCATCTCCTCATCGTTGATATCCAATTGGGCACAGGCCTTAGCCGCTTCCTGCATCATTTGAAGTGTAGAGGGAACATACTTCTCGAAGTGCTCTCCTATTGCAAGAGCAATGTCCCCAAAGCAAGAAAGTATGGGAGGCTTCACAGACCGGTGGAGGTGGCTACTAGAGAGATCATTCAATAGAAGAGACATGATTCCATCACAATATGGCAAGGCCTTGTCATCCAAGGCACGGCAGATGTCACCAACTACCCCGACTGTGATAGAACAAACCTGGTATTCCTCGCAGTTCTGCAATCCCATTTGCAAATACTGGTAAAAGTCAGGCATATATTTTGCAAATTCGGGTCCAGTGGCATAAGCCAGGGCACCAATTGCAAGCATTGCTTCCTCATGTACTGTAGAACTACGGCAAGCAAACACCCTAAGGAACAAAACCATAATTTGGTCTGCAGCCTGGAGTATAATAGATTTGGTGTCATCAGTACTGCTGAATTTCTGGACAATAACCTGAAGAACACCGCAGAGAGATGCCTGTAAATCTCCTTGCTTTTCTCTATCATCCGATGATATGATATGAAGCTGCAAAGTCTGATCTAACCTACTCATGATGGCAGGGAGCAGCTCTGCAATGATCTGAGATGTTTCTGAGATATTACAACATCTAACAACTTCATTCAATGTTTCATATGCAGAAGACCTTAGTTTTGAGTCACCTCCATCTGTACGATCAGCAGTCCTCAGAAGTTCAGCAATAATGGTTGTTAGGTAAGGTGAAAGAAGAGAAGAGCTTGATCCAGTATCTTCATACCCCTGGGCAAGATAATAGATTGCTCCACAAACCTTCTCAGCCACATTGGGAGCATCCTTAATGCTCTCCAATAGTACTGTCAAAACTCGTTGGAGGTTATCAGGGGAAATCACTGAAAAACCACTAGCCGGACAGTGCAGCAACTCAAAAATTCGACTCAGAGTCCACGCAGTTGTGTCCTTCACTTGATTGTTCTCATCCCTCATTGCATTTAGCAAAAACTCCAAACCTGTCTGAACTAGCGGAGCAAGTTTCTCAATGGTAGGACCCTCAAGTATTGAACCAAAAGAATATGTAGCAGCTTCACGACAACGCCAATCTGGCTTCATTATGTTAGCCTCCACAAAAGGCATTACAAGAGGCACAATCTCATCCCCAACAGTTCTAGCAACAAGACCTAGACATGTCCCACCAGCCATAGAGATATTCCAGATGCTATCATCCTGGTCCTGATCCTCTTCCTGCTTCAGCAAAGTTTCAAGCAACATAGGAACCAGAGAAGACCGTGCCTTCTCTATGAAATGGGAATGGGTAGAACCGGAATCCCCAGTTTCAGGATTCTCAAACTCTTGCAGCTCTATCTCCTCATCACATATGGAGCTCCAAAACTCAATTGCTTGGAGAGCAACAGCCTCTTCATCTCCTTTCACTGCATTTGACGTCAGCTCAAAGAGGGTCTGCATGTAAGGTTCAAGCACATCATAGTATGTTGATGCTATTGAAACAAGACACTCAAAAGCAGCCTGTCTAATCTCAATCTCTTTCGACTTGGCTGTCTCACACACCATCTTCATGATGTAAGTCCGCTCCATCTCGTTTTGAAAGTTGGTCTGAGCAAAATCTAGTGCATTATATAAAGCCTTAGTTGCTGCAAGGCGGACTTCAGCACTATGCTCAGCAAGGTTCATGCCTTGTACAACAGCAGTGAGAACAGCATTCACTTCCTCTTGCACAAGATCCTCATGGGATATCTCCTCACAAACATATCCAAGAGTTTCCAGGGTTGCCTGTTTCAGTGATGCAGGACTATCTTGTTGGGTCATATTGGTAAGCAATGATTGAATAAGTTCAGGCCACTGCTTTTGTGGAATCTCAATTGAAGCAATTTTCGCAATCACTTGAGCAGACGTGTGCCTTGCCTCTGGAACAGGTGAGGCAAGAGTCCTTAGAACCAAATCTTTGATTTGGGACTTACAGGAAATGTCAATCGTCATCCATTGTTTAACAAGAGCTTCCTTTGTACCGGCATCTTTTGCATCTAAGGAATTCTTAAGCACGATACCAGCCAATCTACGGGATTCAGTAGGTTTCTCATTGTTGGCAAGCTCAAAAGACAAAGATAACAGAAACGCTGGCAGGTTTTGCTGTTGGAGCTGCCTCAGATTATTCTCTGCCTCATTACGGACATTTGCATCCGCCGATTGAGCAGCCAGTAGAAACTGAGTGATCTCCATCGCCATTTTCCAGCACCACCACTGCAAATAACATTACAACAATTAACAATGAAGATGAAAAACAATCAAATCTTACACTTAAAAAACATAAGGTAGACATTTAAAAATTATAAAATCGCCATAAATAACCACGCCCTTTATCAGTATGTATATGGTAATTTAAATAGTAAATTTTAAAGCATTCATCAATCAAATTATGCATAGAAACACTTTTCACCACACTACTTCAACAGTTACTCATCATACAAACAAAAGAAACGCTCATCAACTGATAAAATTACACAAAAAATAACTATTTAAACCCCATTTCAATATCACTAATAAAACAAAAATTCTAAACAACATCGATTCCGACTCCCTTCATTCAATTATCATAATCAATATCATAATATTCAAATAAGCATAAATTTCAAGTAATATAAGACAATAATCACATATTACATATCCTCAAAAAAGAAACCGAGCAACAAATAAAATTAAATTACGAACTAAACAGTGTAAAGATGAACAGATATCGTACAAGTAACATCCAGGGATTTAAACACACAAAACCCTAATCAAAGCAAAACTTCCATAACTCATCAAAACATAAAAACCTGACACAATAAAACAACAAAAAAACACAAAAAAAATCCACAGATCTAATCATAGAACGAAAGAGTGTAGTAAAATACCTGAAATCGATAATAATAATCAAACCAAACAAGAGTGGAAAGCCACCACTGAAACCAAGCTAGGGTTTCTCTCTCTCTCTCTCTCTCTCTCTCTCTCTCTCTCTCTCTCTCTCTCTCTCTCGGTCTCTTTGAAGTTAAAGTGAGAGAGAAACGGAGATTAGCGAATTTGAAAGAGTATTTTTGAACAGTAAGGAAGGGGCCGAAAGCGTGAATTTGAGAGATATTTATAACACAAAATTATTTCGAATGTTTAGAAGAAGCGGGAGGGAGGGGATTCATTTGTTAAAAAGAAAACAAAACTAACGGGCAGGGATTTTGGCTGCCCGAGATCACCGACCCCAAAACCCTAGAATTTCGAAATCTCCCACGTGCGAAGTACAAAGCGTGTGTTGAGTCTAGGATATTGGAAATCATGTCTGGGCTTTCAAGATTTGAAATTATGGGCCCAATCTTTTTGGGCCTTTAATGCAAAAATTAGGATCTTTTTGGGCTGATCATTCACGGAATCATCTTTTCATTTGCGTCTCATCATCACATATAATTACACACCATTTAAGATAAAAAAAAATATACGATAATTATCGGAATGTGTAATATTATTGCATAATTTATTATCAGATAAAATAAAATAAAGAAAAATGCTATATGATTTACCTGGGGAGCAGCGATGGTGGGTTGATGTAAGATGCTCTTTATAGGATTAGTTGGACCGAGTGTAAGCCAATCCGAACTCTCCAGTTATTAAAAAAAAAAAAAAAAAAAATTTGAGATTACAAAGATGAAATTCATTTCTATATTTCAAATTCATGTACTATAAGATATACATCCAGTATGTTTCTTTACATGATCTCCAAAAGGCCTAACTATGCTACGTTTGTGTTTGGCGCTACTTTGAGGTTTCACTTGAACATTTGCAGAACAAGCTTGCCTAACTGGGCTTTTTATACCGCAAATTCTGTGCTTCATCCGCCATGGCAGAAGCATTTCCAGGCCACAAACCTTTGGCAGAGAATAAGATCTTCCTACCGCCTCTGAAACACGAGTCTCTGGATCGTTACACACGTACGGAAGTTTGTTGCTCAGGTTTCCATTTATAACAGATGATGCCGCCAACGCAGTAGCATCCGGAAGAAACCGCTCCATAATGTAACTTGGTGAAATACTATCATTGTGCTCTAAATTGAACCCATCTAGTCCGTGATTTTGTTCAGCTTTTTCAACAATGTCAATGGCCTCTGTTAGTGACAAAACGTCCATGGGATTGGAGAAAACGTCGGCATAATCATCATCAACATCAATATCACCATCACAACTATCATCCTGATGAAGATCATGTAAATCTTCATTAGAAGGGACTTGTTTGTGCGGATGCAATCTGCCTGGTGGCAATCTGAGACGAGGGGTGTCACGTTCAGGACTTTTTTGAGAGTCCTTAGGCATACCTGGAACTTCTTCCCAACAAAATGGAATGCTGTGACCTGTGTCTTGCAATTTGGGTTGTGAATTATCTGTGCAGCCACTTGGGCGCCTGATTGATAAGAGTGGCGCATTGAAGTCCAGCTTTCTGGGGCGTTTCATTTGATACAGATACTTTGCCCTTTCTTCTTCCATAGAGATACAGAAAGAGATAGTTGTAAAGGTGGAGTATAGCACTTAGAGATTCAGATGAATGACTACGGAAATTGGACCAAAGGGGCTGAATGAGATTATAAGAAAAATTAAAAAAAACAGTTGAAAAAATTGGGTTTCTCGTGTTGTTCATTAAGACAAAAATACTTTAAAATGGACACGTGAGAGGAGAAAAAGTACCCTTTCATATGGGCTTGAACAAAGGGCCACCACTTGGCTTAACTCAACGTTTCTCAATGCTTAAAGTCACCAGACGAGGCTTCAAGCTTTAGCTTTTTCTTTCGAGATTTTTAAGCTTTTTAAATGGTTGTTTGATTGAATGTTTTCCTCCGAATTAACTCCCAATTTTCTTCCCATTTCTTTGAAATTACCCTTTTCTTCGGAAGAGGAGAAAGTTGGAAAAGTAACCGAGAAAAAGGGCAAAATTAAACAGGAAGATGTTGAGATGGGTCTGAACTGGTCTATATCACAAGTAGTTTGTAAGAACAAAGCTCTGTCTCTCTCTCTGTTTAAGGGAAAAATTCAGAGCTTGTAAAATAATACAACGCACAGCATGATAAAAGTTGCAATACATGGTTATGTACCCGGAAGAAAAAAACAAACAAACAAACAAACAAAAACAAATACATCGGTAAAACTCTACAATAGACGGACTTCATCACCACAAGCTGCCATTTTTCATTTACGTTGTTTCTTTGACCACCATTTTGGAGTTTTATAAGGGGCAATGGTAATGGCACCAATACTTAAATTATCAATAGATCAAATCCATATCCCAGAAAACATATTTACATGTTCTTGCTCCTCGAACTTTCATTTCTTCCTTCTATAGTGTCTTTCTTTTTTCTTTTTTTTTTCTCTCTGAAAGATCCAAACTGTGCCTACTCTCTCAGACCATCAATTTTGCAGTAGAATGTACTAGAGACAAAATCTAAAAAATAATTTGCTCAGACTAACATTGGCCGTGTAATGGAAAAAGAAAAAGAGTTGGCAACAAATAAATTGCCCACATAAAGACGATGAAGAAATAAGACCAACATGAACTTGAAACTTTCACTTTTGTTGTTGTTCATCAAGCCTCTCCTGTGCTTTATTGTAGAGTTCAAGAGCAAGGTCACGGCTGGGATCAAGACAGAGGGCTGCTTCGCAGTCTCTTTTGGTGGAGATAAAATCGCCCATTGAGTCATGAAACGAAGCTCGCTGAAGTAGCAGCAACAGCAGATCTGGCTTGAATGCTATGATCTTTGAAAGCTCTGTCATTGCTTCAGCTTCTTTGTGGTCATCCATTAGAACTGAAAAGACATGCATTATTATGTTAGTTAATCCAAATTTTACAGCTATACAAACGTATACTAAACAAGTTCAAGCGTTCAAACCACATTACAAAATTATATTATATTTCAATGAGGAAAGACATTGCATACCAAATGATCCAGTAGCTGAATCGATGTAATTAACAGTTAAACCTCTATTTGCTAAAACATGCAGTAAAAATAGGAGAAAAAAAATTTCTCCAAAGATGGATCACTTGATAAACTCATCCCACAAAATGACCTAATATTTATGGTCTACATCTTCCAAATGAAAAGCATTACTATAATAAAATTTATTTGCAAAGGAATCATGGTTGCAACAGCTTTTTTGCATTTCTACAACAAAAACTGTGCAGTTGACATTGAGTTTCAATCTAAAAAAAAGGATCAATAACTGCAGTAACAGAATTTACCTGCTGCCCTGTATCTGTATGGGAATGTCCTCGTCGGATCAAGTTGTGTTGCCATACTAAGATCACTCTTTGCGGCATCAGGATCACAGTACTCTGCACGCTTCTCATAACCTGTAGCTTTTTTCAGGGCCTTCTCTATCAGCTTTGTCATCTCATCATATGCAGCTTTGCGTTGATTTTTCAGATAGTATACTTTTGCAAGACCCTCATGAGCTCGAGTATGCTTGATGTTAATTGCATTCATGAAGCAATCGGCAGCAAGATCCAGCTTTTCACAGTCTATATAGACATTACCTAAATTATACAATGCCTGCAAAATGGGAAAATCACCAAACATAAGAAACCTACATATATAAGGCTGTAGTGTAGACCAAGATAAAAGAATTGCTCCAAATACATACTTGTCCTTTTCGAAGGCCATCTGAAGGACACCTTAGAGCTTCCTCATAAAGTTGAGTCACATATATTAAAGATTCAGTATCTGTGCTTGAATTTGATAACGCATAGGCTTTAAGGAAAAATGCCTCAAATGATCTCTGAATAGCAATAGATTCCTCCGCCTTAGCTAGTGCTTCTTCACGATGACCACTGTCATACAATAGCCATCCTTCATAAACAAGCCTCTCATACTCAGACGTGGAATGATTTCTAGCCCACCGTAGACTATGCATTGCAGACTTCTGAAAATTTAGCCTGAAACATCCAAGTACAACAGGAGACAGTTGGATAAATATTTTAATACTGAGGACAAGTTCATGAAGAAAAAATATACTTCTTTTGCACACGGGACTAAAAGGATATCAAATGATTAGCACTTCAAATTTTGAAAAGAAAGACCAAGAAACAGAGTCAGAGGCTATAAAGCTTCTAACTGAAATTGAAGTCCCAATCAATATTCAATCATAACTATCAAAAACGTTTTAAGAAAAAATGAAGCAGGAAAGGAGGATAATAAAATTCAGGTAAAAAATGAAGCAGGAAAGGAGGTACTAAAATTCAGGTAAGACACTTAGATTTCAATCATTCATCACAGGCAATATGTTGAGGCAAGAGCTATTCTTTATCTTTAATAAATGCCAACTCATAAAACTCAAAACACAAAAACATGTTGTAGCCTACAAAGCAATTGTATGCACAATTAAGCTATGAATGGTATAAATTTTAGGGCAGCTCAAAGTAGTTTAAATGCTAGACAGGGACAGTTGTAGAAAGCATTCAGTCGATCAAAGTATTTATAGTATTCATAGTTGAAGTAATAAATAAAATTCATACTTACCGGAAAAGAAGGAGAGACTGCCTAAACCATAGAAGGCTCTTCCCAGGATCATTTGCCAACATATGATGTACAACAGCCAAGCAACCAATATCATCAACAGAGGACCATCGATCATACAGCTGCATCCAGCAATCAGCCTGACTCCACTGCTGAACAAGTGGTTGTAAAGTGTCTACCACTTTGTCACAGTGCAGTTGCCTGTAAAACATCATGTAAGTTGGGTCCAAAGTCAAAAGTGCCCGGACATCTCTAAGAGCTCCTTCATAATCCTTGAGGGCAATAGAAATCCAAGCTCGCAATTCAAGGCAGTCAGGAGAGACCTTAAAACCAATTATTCTGTTGATTTCTGAGATGGCTTCCTGGAACTTGTTTTCCTCCACCAACAAAACAGCTCGATACTTGTACGGATAAGAAAGAGTTGGATCCAATTCAGTTGCAGTGCTCAAATCCATCATCTTCTCTTTCCCAATACAATAAAGAGAACGTTCTTGATACATCCACCCAACTGGATTATAATCAGAAATGAGCGAGTTCATTAGCTTATATGCTGAATACTTGTGCCCACGCTTGAACTTTGTCCTTGCAACACCCACTGTAGAATAAATATGACCAGCCTCAACAGCAGCCTTGAACCAGTTTTGCGCATCTTTATACTCATTCCTTTCAAGCATCACAACACCTAACTGATGAAATGCAAGTTGTTTTTGCCAACTTTCAGTCGCACACTCCCCTAGTCTTTCTAAAAGCATCACGGTTGTGTTTGATTTCATGTCTTCCTCTATAGCAATCTGGCTTAAGAAATAATACAACAGAAATGAAGCATGCCCAACCACAGCCAATTTTTCCCTCACCTCTGCACTTGAAAAGATTCTCATTGCACTAGGATTGTGCATCGAACTGGGAAGCTCTCTTAAAAGCACCTGCAAGCAAGCAGCCACAAGAAGATAGGCAGTCTCCTCCAATCCATATTCAATCAACAACAAAGCATCCTCCATGTTGAAAACCAGAGATGACAAATAAGAATCACAAGCTGACTTCATCTCATTACAACAAAACCTGTTAGCAAAACAAAGGAGCTCCAAAACAATATGTGGATCCAAAAAATCTAACCTTTTTGTCCTGCTAAATATCTCAGCAGCCCTCACTGCCTCCACTGAAAACCCATTCAGTGATAAATTTATCTTCTCCCTTCTTGACTCTATAAACCCACCATACAACATTCTCTTAAATGGTCTCGACAATGAGGCAAAATTGTAGCGCACACACCTAATCTCTTCATTTCCAATACAAAATGACATGTCCCCATCTTCATCAGAAGTTGAACACTCCTCATCCCCCATAAAAATATCATCATCAAACTCTCCTCTTGAACCTCTAGTGCATAAACAAGGATCGTAAATCGACTCAGGATCATATCCGGACACCAAACTAGCATTAGGACATTCAAGATTTCTTCCACAACAATCCATTGAAGTTGTGCCAATAAGTTCATCTTCTCTCCTCTCATACCTCAACCACGCAGCCAAAACAATCTTTGTGTGCACATCAACGGCATGCTGTCTGGCTGATCGGAGACTCCTCCGAAACAATTCGGGATCAGGCAATCCTTTGAATATAGCACATTGTTCTAAATACACGCCTGTTTTCTCAAACTGGGGACAACTTTCAATCCTACGATACAAATCAGCAAATGTCTCAACACAATCAACGGATTTGAGACAAGGTTCAATCTGGGGCTCAATAAGATCTGTAATAGGTAATCCATACGGAAGAGCTGCCTCTGTTACAATACTTGGAATCTGGGTTGGAGCTTGATAAGTTCGACTCGATTTTGATCGAATTGAATTAACTCTCAAATGGTCCTGAAGGTGATGCAGTAACTTATCCCCTACACCACCACTACCACCACCACCACCACCACCACCACCACCACCACCAGCAGCGCCGCTGCTGCTGGTGGGATTGATGGTGAACACCTGGGTCCCTTTACAACCATCTATGAGTTTTAAACTACGCATTGTTGTAAATATATTGTGTTGCATCTTTATAAATAAATAAATAAATAAAAAGTATAAAAATTTAACGTTACAAATTGAAAACTTGGAAGAACCAAAAAAACGTATAAATGAAAATCTTGCTGGTATTACCTTATGGCCTGAAAACAACACGCACCGTTTTTGAATGATTATGAAAATGAAAAGAGCAACACAACGATGGTGATGCAGGCTAAAGAATGTACTATAATATATTTATTTTTTTCAGAAAAAAACATGGGAATTCTTAATTGTTTCCAGGCTCTTATTTTCCCGAGAAAATGGAGAGAAAGTAAGAAAATAAATGGGGGTCTAGAATAGAAGGAAAGGAAATGGTTCAAGTTGAAGACCAACAAGAATTTTGAGATGGAGAAGGCCGTTGAAACGGCCACTCTCCGTGGCTTTTCTCTTTAATTAATAATAATAAATTTACGTGCTTATTCATCGTCCAATCTATCTATCTAAAGTAAAGTCTCTGTGTCTTTGGCTGTCTGTGATTAAGGTCAATGTCATAATGTTTGTAATTTACTGTTTTTCTTTTTTCTTAAAAATAAAATAAAAAATCACACATGGCGCGCGTGATTTAACATCCTGTTAGAAAGGAGAACCGCTAAAATCTCCCCGCCTGTGTCTTCCCATTTTTATCTCACAAGCCTTCATTTTGGGACCCGCATCTGTCGGCACCTGTCAGAGATCACGATTTCCTTTACACGCTTTCTTCTGGCGCGTCTACTCACTTTCCATTATTTTGAGGAATTCATTTATATAAATTTATAATTAACACACACACACGCTCCATATGTATATACACACATAGTTAAGTCACTTGACTCTGTTGAAATTCTGAAATTATTAAAAATTAATATTTATTTTTAATCATTTTAATTTTAACTCCACTAAAATTTATACGTGATCTTATTAAAATTATTCATATTTTGTTGATTCTATTAAAATATTTTCATATTTTATTAATCTCGATATTTGAAAATACCTTTTATTCATATTTTTTAAATCAATAATACTATACTTACAAAGAAATCTTACAAAGATTTTCATACAAAGTGAGGTGACAAAAAATGAATGGAAGAGTGAAACAAAAAGTCAAATTCATTAAATTCACTCTTCCATTCATTTTTTGTCACATCACTTTATATGGAGATCTTTGTAAAATTTCTTTGTAAATGTAATATTACTCTTTTTAAATATGAAAAAGCATCGACGATAATTATAAAATTAATAAATTTTTAGATATATTTTTTTATATTTATTACTTTAATATATATTTTATTGTAAATTATCAACTTATATCTTTTGACCCAATAATTAAAACTCATGATTGTGTTCCTATATATATATATATTAGTCTATCAAATTTCATGTGCTAATAATTATTATAATTTATAATTTACTGAAATTATTGGTAATCTATTTTTCAATTCAAGATGATAAAATGTCTACATATATATGTATAACTTCTAAATTAAAATTTTAAATACATTTTTTATATTTATTACTTCAATATTTATTTTATTATAAAGTTATCTATTTGGATCTTTTGACATTATTAACAAAAAAATCATGACCATGCTCCTCTCTCTCTCTCTCTCTCTCTCTCTCTCTGTGTGTGTGCGTGTGTGTGTGTTAGTATATCAAATTTCATGTGCTAATAATTATTATAATTTATAATTTATTAAAATCTTTGATAATGTATTTTTCTATTCAAGATGATAAAATGTATTATTAGAATATATATTTTTGTAAAACATATTAATGAATATATCTAATATTCAATTTTATAATGCTAATCCTCTTAAACTTATTCCAAATTTTATCCGTCAAGCAAGTTAAAAAAATAGGAACAAAAACTCCATGCATGAGATAGTGGTATACAGTGGCCATAGGGAGCGTGGACAATGGATTGTCTGACAGATAAGCAAAAGTGATATGGTTAAGGATATAACACGTGTAAGTCATAGAAGTTATATGAACCATGATGAAAGATGTCATCGTCATTATCCGTCTGGGCCAACCCAGCACGTCACTTTAGTTTGCCTATCAGGCAGGCTACCTGTGCTGTCCTTTTTATTTTATAATAAAAATTATAATAATTTACTGTTCTTTTAATTTACATATATAAAAAGACATAATATGAATAATATGATAAATAATTAAAAATTCTACAAATTAAATTATAATTTATTACGAAATTTATTTCATTTATCTTTGAAAAATCACTAGCTTTGTTTGTTTTATTATTCTTGATAAGATTTTTTAAAATGTTGAAAGGGGTTATTATTACCGATATGATTTAAAAATTAACAAAAATATCTCTTAGATTTGGTAATTTAGCTAAACACCCCTTATAATAAAAAGTTTAAAAATTGATAAAAACATTTACATTCACTCACCCATATTTGCTAGATTCCGGCAACCACCACTGGACGGTGGCTGGAATCTGCTGTAATGGGGTACGACTGGCTGGATATAGCTAGTCATGCACTGATATGGCTTTTTTAGGTCAAATCCACCATAAATTTGACCGAAAAATGTTAGATCTGGTTAGACATCGTTGACGACCAAATGTCGCCAAAGATCTGGTCATCAACGGTAAGATCTTGGGTCATAGATCTGGCTTTTTCTTATCAAATCCAAGGTGAATTTGACCAGAAAATGCTAGATTGGCACAATACTAGCCATATCCACCTGGTAGTGCGTCATTACTATAGATTCCGACCACCTTCCAGTAGTGGTGGTCGGAATCAGACAAATGTGGATGGTCAACTAAGACTTTTGAATGTATTACTCAAGAGGTCTTAAATTCGATTCATATAGGTTCTTAATAAAGGTGGCCACTTAAACTTTTACTCAATTAGTAGTTATAAGGTTTTCGAAGATTAGTTGAAGTGTGTGTAAGTTAAAAAAAAAAATGAGATAAATTAATGTTAGCATATAACGAATCCAAGTATTTGAAGTTACGAAAGTGTAACTAGAGCACATATTGTGTTTTCTAACTTTTGTTTCTTGGTAGATAGTTGGCATTGGATGTAGATGAATCTAAAAATATTTGGTGATGAACGTACAAAAAAACCTTCTTTGGATTTGTCTAAGATTTTTGGAATTCATTTATTTCTCTCTGGAGTAGTTAGGATAGATGTTCATGATTTAATTATTGATTACATTTAGAAAAATATAAAGCTATTATGTTATTGGATTTACTATATTATATATCACTTGATTATATAATCTATTATGTTATTAAATTTGTCATGCTATGCATCGTAATAATTAATTACTTTTTAATTAAAATGTCATATACTTATATATTGAATTATTAATGACATTTGAAAAAAAAAAATCCAAACATATTATATATATAAGAAAAACAAAAGTATCATAATATTTTATTATTGATTACCACTAAAAAAAATTCATCCAAACTAAATCAAATATAATATAAAAATGAAAAAAAAATTAAATTATAATAATGCATAACATGTTTTTCGAACATAAACGAACGAACAATCGAACGATTGTTCGCGAAAGGATGGATCAGTCGAACGTATAGTGTTCGTGAACATAATCGAACGAATAACCCCTGTTCGAACTCGATCGAACATATTATCGAATGAATATCGAACTGTTCGCGAACATTATCGAACAGTAATCGAACGAACAACGAACGTTCGCGAATTGTTCGGTTCGTTTGCAGGCCTATATAGTCATATACATAAAGGCACTTAGTTAAAGTATACCCAATTAAGTCACTTGACTCCATTGAAATTCTAAAATTATTAAAAATTAATATTTATTTTTAATAATTTCAATTTTAATTTTACTATTAAATTTATAATGATCTTACTAAAATTACTCCTATTTTATTGATTTTATTAAGATATTTTCATATTTTATTGATCCCAATATTTGAAAATACCTTTTATTCATGTTTTTGGAATATGAAAAATCATCGAAAATAATTATAAAATTGATAAATTTTTAGATAAATTTTTTTATACTTATTATTTTAATATATATTTTATTATAAATTATCAATTTATATCTTTTGACCCTACTAACTAAAACTCATGATTACGCTCCTATATATACATATTAGTCTATCAAATTTCATGTGCTAATAATTATTATAATTTATAATTTACTGAAATTATTGGTAATCTATTTTTCTATTCAAGATGATAAAATACCTACATATATATGTATAACTTCTAAATGAAATTTTTAAATACATTTTTTTATATTTATTATTTCAATATTTATTTTATTATAAGGTTATCAATTTAGACCTTTTGACCTTACTAACTAAAATCCCGGCTATGCTCCTATATATATGTGTTAGTATATCAAATTTCATGTGCTAATAATTTTTATAATTTATAATTTATTAAAATCTTTGATAATCCATTTTTTTATTCAAGATGATAAAATGTATTATTAGAATATATATTTTTGTAAAACATATTAATGAATATATCTAATTTCAATTTTATAATGCTATTCTTCTTAATACTTACTCCAAATTTTTTCCGTCGAACAAGTTAAAAAAAAAATAGGAACAAAAACTCTATGCATGAGAGAGTGGTATACAGTGGCCATGGGGAGCGTGGACGATGGATTGTCTGACAGATAAGTAAAAGTTGTTGGTTAAGGATATAACACGTGTAAGTCATAGAAGTTATACGAATCATGATGAAAGATGTCATCGTCATTATCCGTCTGGGCCAACCCAGCACGTCACTTTAGTTTCCCTATCAGGCAGGCTACCTGTGCTGTCCTTTTTATTTTATAATAAAAGTTATAATAATTTACTGTTCTACAAAAAGACAAAATATGAATGATATGATAAATAATTAAAGATTCTACAAATTAAATTATAATTTATTACGAAATTTATTTCATTTATCTTTGAAAAATCGCTAGCTTTGTTTGTTTTCTTACTAGGATTTTTTAAAAAGTTGAAATGGTTGTTATATGATTTAAAAATTAATAAAAATATCCTTTAAAATTGTTAATTTAACTAAACATATCTTACAATAAAAAATTTAAAAATTAATAAAACCACCCTTACCTACCCACCCACATTTACTAGATTTCGATCACCATCATTGGAAGATGGCTGGAATCTGCCGTAATGATGCACGACTGGCTAGATATAGCTGGTCGTGCACCGATATGGCCTTTTTTGGCCAAATCTACAATAGATTTGATCGAAAAAGGCCAGATCTGGTTGGCTATCGTTGATGACCAAATATCGTTAAAGATCTAGTCGTCAACGGCAAGATCTTTGACCGTAAATCTAGCCTTTCCGATCATATCTATGGTGAATTTGATCAGAAAATACTAGATCAGCACACTACTGGCCATATCCACCTAGTAGTGTG